GGTTAGTTGCAGTTTTATGTTCTTGCCTTAAAAATCTAACAAGTAATGCTCCTAGACCCAACGGAACCACGTTTTTCCTCTGCATGGTAACGTAGAGTAGTGCAATCATGAAATCTATACAGGGTAACTTTTTCTTTTTCTTTGGCCATATACAGCCTAACCTCAGGTGAATACTTATTATGTTCACCATTAAATGATGCCCCAATGTTTGCTAATAAAATAAATAAGAAATTAAACATTAAAACCTAGGGAAATCGATTATGAAACTATAAAGAAAACTTCAATACCATATTAATTCTAACTTTATTATGAAATCTATAGTTTTCTACGGTTAACAAAGAAAAGAGGCAGATCAAGGTTTGTTAAAAGTCTTTGGGAAAAAAATAACATATATTCATCAAGTGTCTCAATAATTCAACCCAAAAATTTAATTATTATTATTTTTAAAGGTTTGATTTGAATACATATCCATACACACAAGCACACACATATTCTTTATTATGGTTGCATTTCATTTCGTAGATAAGTGAGTGTTAGATTATATAATGGAAAAAAAAAAATGCAATAATGTTCAAGGTACGGCGATTAGACTACACAAGTCCCGTCCCGCTTTCCTCCCTTTCATAGTCTTTGTTCTCTTTGTGATCTACTCCTTCTTCTTGTGCGGTCTTCCTCGTCTCTTCAACCATATTGCTGGGGTGCTGATAATATTTCTAACATGTACCAGAGTTGCACAGTGAAGCTACTTCAAATTCTTTTCCAAGATACAAATTATGTTGAATATATAAATAACTTGGATCAAGAAACTGTTGAAAAATGGCCAGAAGACTTGAAATTTGAAAGTCAAGTTTGAAATTTTTCTGACATTTTATTGGCTACCTCATGGAAGTTCCCAATATAACGAGAGTTCAGGTAGTAGCTCAAACCATCCGAGGCGAAAGGTCTCTTGATCATTAAGAGGATAAAGCCCTTTGATCCAAAACACAAAGTTATCTGATCATTGGGAATTGAGGGTCTTTAGTGACACTGCAAGAAAAAGGGTTTTTACAGCAATAAAGTGCTGTCATAAAAAATTTATATATAGTCACAATTATTTTTTGTAACGGTATTGTCTCGTCATAATAAGTGTGGTATTAAAAGATTTTACGGTAGAAACGGTCTGTCTCTAATAGTATTTACGGCAGCAAGACCCTGTCGTAAATAAATTGTCACAAAAAATTCGACATTTTTGCTTTTATCACAAGGTCAAAGTGCTGCCTCAAATACCATATTTGACTGTCGTAAAAAATAAAAGATATATTTATGACGACAACGATGCCGTCACAAAAAAAAAAAAAAAAACAATCTTACGAGTTGAACAAAATTTAAAATATGCACTTTTATAACACATAACGATATATAAGTATAAGAAATTAATGCAAAAAGTTAAACATCCTTCTCGAACCATCTACTCTCTCAATGACGTATAAAAAATATATAAAATTATTGTAACTATACTGAAATAATATTTATATACCTATATACAATAGAGAATTAAAAGAAGTTAGAATATATATTAATAGAAGGCCACACAATATTTCTCTGAACGGCTTGTCAAATTATGTAAATAGTATATAAACGAGTTATATTGTATGCATTTCTTCTAATTGGTTTCACCAATATTTGATTCGTTTATAATTATATCGTGACGGGTGCACTCATTTACTAAATAGGTAGCTTAAGAAAGACTCAAACTTACTAATTTTATGTCGTGTTAACGAGTCGTGTCATATTTTGACATTCTTAGTTTTGATATATAAAAACTTGACTTTATAGAGTTTAATTTTTTTTCTTTAAACTAGAAATTGTCTTTTGATGATAAACTATGTAATTTTATAAAATATTACTTGCAACATGAAAAATAGTTATGGCCAATACAAATTGTTTTTAGAGTTTTTCTTCTTTAAACTATAAACTATTTTTTAATTTAAAACAACATTTTAATGTTTTATGAAATATTATATACGATCGGAAAAATAACTGCCACAAATATACAAAATTCTTTTGAATCTATAAAATATTATTTGAGGCAGGAAAAACAGCTGTCTCAAATACACAAATTTCTTTTGAATTTATGACACTATTTATGGCAAAAAAAATAGTTGGCACAAATATTAACACAAACACGTTTTTGGTGACGGCAAACATAACCGTCACAAAAAATTGTCTCAAATACATCTTTTGAGACGACAAACAAAGCAGCCGTAAAAAAATTGTCACAAAGGCCCTTATTTTTGTTGTGTGATTAAGTACCAATCTTAGTGTTATTAGATTTGTGAATGGTACTAGTAATTTATCAAAGTAATTATCTTTTGTTGGAGTGAGTACTAAAATTTAGAATACTATCAAGTACTCATGTTTTAGTCTATAATAAAAAATTCCGATTGTTGTTGTAGTCGTGAGCATATGCTATTGGTCTAATCACGTAAATTGATTTGTCTTGTGTAATTATTTTTTTACTTTCCCGCTTAAGTGTGGGAGTCGATATGGATCCCAATTTGATTCCCGGATAATTTCCGCAAGAGAAACCCATTCCATGCTTTTTTGAAGTTGTTCCCTTCAATCCGTGAACCTCCTAGGTAGGTTGATCATTGTCATGCATTACTTTCTGCTTCCTTCCGGAAAATAAACATCACATTGATGAGTAACAACGATATACAAAACAAAGGGATATTCCCCTTAGAACATGCAGCAGAGGCATCAAAAGTAAACAAATTTGTGAGGGGTGCACATTAAACATAAGCACCTCAAACAGATTTGACAAAAGTACAATGAATTCTCAGAGAACCTATTACAGTTTAGTAAGCAAATAAATTATCATACAAGACACTTATTTGCTTGATTCCTGCTTCCTTCAAACTTGGCAGGGAAGACAGTCTAGCTGACAAAGCGCGATAAACAACTGCCAATTTTGGGACTTGTTTTGTTTACTGAAAGACTTGTACTGTCTATTTATGAATTGACAAGATATTTTGGGAATTAAATAGACAAGATATTTTGGGAATTGTTTTGTTTAGTGCAAGGTTTGTACTGTTTATATATGAATAGACAATTTATTTGGGACTTTTCTTTCATGCATGTTGCCTGGTGTGCGGTTGCAGGAGTGGGATAATTAGTATGCTAACGAAATTGAAGTGCTGAAAGAAAAGGTGAGGAGCATGCTAGTAGCTGCTGGAGGCAAATCAGCGGAGAGAAGGCATTTGATTAACACACTCGAACGCCTTGGTGTTTCCTATCACTTTGAGAAAGAGATTGAAGACCAATTGGAGAACATGTTTTCTGCCTATGACCATGAAAATAATGAAGGCTATGATTTGAAAACCATTGGCCTTCACTTTAGAATATTCAGACAACATGGCTATAAAATGCCAAGTGGTATGTTGATTATAACATAGATTTTACATGGATACTGCTGTTGCTTGCATGTATTTTTATACATATATACGGTCGATGTCTAATGTGATGTCTTCACTTATAAAGCAGATGTCTTTAACAAATTCAGAGAGAGCAATGGAGAATTCCAGGAATCCACTACTACCGATGTGATGGGTATGCTAAGCTTATATGAAGCTGCACATTTGAGGACGCATGGAGACGATATTTTGGACGAGGCTCTCGTATTTGCAACCACTCACCTTCAGTCCATTGTGACCAATTTAAGCCCCACTCTTGCGAAAGAAGTGGTGCATGCACTGAAGCAACCCCTTCACAAGGGGTTTCCATTCTAAGAGAAGATGCAAGGCATTACATCTCTATCTACCACGAAGATGCTTCTAAGAATGAAATGCTATTGAGGCTTGCACAGCTAGATTTCAATCTATTACAATTGTTGCACAAGGAAGAACTATGCCTCCTCTCAAGGTGAGTGAGTTCATCCCAAAAAAAAAAAGGTTAGTGGGAGAGAGAGAGAGAGAGGGGGGTTTACGCATTTGGGAAACTAATATATTTGTATTTTTGACTTTTAGGTGGTGGAAAGATTTGGACCTTTATCAAAACTTCCTTATATAAGGGACAGACTGGTCGAGAGCTACATGTGGGTTTTAGCAACGTATTATGAACCTCATTACTCCCTCAGCAGGATAATTTTCACCAAAATTTTTTCTATGCTAGTCGTTATGGATGATACATATGATGCATATGGTTTACGTGAAGAACTCAGACTTTGCACTTATGCAATACAGAGGTTATAATTTCTTGAAGCCCTTGTTTTTTTTCTCATAGACTCATAGCAAAGCCATTTATATATTGCAAAAACTAGTGAAAGGGACAGATATTATGGAATTTGACATCAGCCGCTCCAAATATCCTACTGTTTATTTTGTGGCTTCTTCTGTAGTTAGCGCCTTCCAATATCATAAGCATGTGAATAAGAAAGACAAATGAATGGTTCAACAATCAATTATTCACTTTCTATGCAAGAAGCACCCCTCCACCGTAGGCGTAGACAACCAGAAAATAGAAAACAATTTCTTTTTATTTTTTCTTTCTGCATTTGATTGAGAACTAAAATGCCATTGCTTTTCTTTTTAGGTGGGATATGAAGGAAATCGACAAGCTTCCAGATTACATGAAAATACTCTGCAGAACTCTCTTAAATCTTTACAAAGAATTAGAGGAGGAAATGGCAAAGCAAGGAATATCGCACCGTCTTTATTATTCACAAGAAGCAGTAAGGGTTTATATATATATATATATATATATATATATATATATATATTTTTTTTTTTTATGGTTCTCCTCTTGTTCATTTTTTCTTTGTATGTTTCGGAAAAGAACAATGGAAAGGATTTTTACTGTCGTTCCTGACATCAGTTTAAAGAAATTGTTATGAGCTATGACATTGAGTCCAACTGGTGTAATGAAGGATACGAGGCCACATTTGATGAGTATATGGGTAATGGGTTGATCACTGGCGGTCAGTTGTTGCTTGGATTATCATCCTTATTGGGCATGGGAGAAGTTGCTACTGTTGAAGCATTTGAATGGATGCAAAGCAAACCTAAAGTTCTTGTTGCAGCAAACATAATTGGGCGGCTCCTTAACGATATAGCAAGCCATGAGGTATAACAGTTACATAAATCACTTAATTGTATGATCCAATACATGTACACACATACATATTTGTCAAAAACATCTCTGTGACATTCATCTATAAATCTCTCGAATTTGAAGGAAGAAGATCAGAGGGCGCATGTAGCTACAGGGGTTAAATGTTATCTGAAGGATTATGGAGTGTCAAAGGAAGAGGTTATTGATGAGTTTTACAAAATGATTGCAAATGCATAGAAGGATATCAATCAGGAATGCCTCAGGCCAACCCCCGTTCCAATGGCTATACTCATGCGAGTTCTCAACCTGACAAGATTTCTGGAGGTACTTTACAAGTATGGAGATGGATACACACATCCAGAACTAATGTTGAAAGATTACGTTGGCTCATTGTTAATCGATCCCATTCCCATATGAGCCTGGAGGATGTTGATTGGTGTTTGTGATTTCATGGAGTTATGTTTGCTTGAACATGCAAGTATTTGGTGTACTGAGCATTTAGCTTTTTATAAGTTTTACTCCAGCATGGATTTGACTTGAGTGTGCAATGAAAGCAAATTCAATAAATGTGACGTACTGATTGTGGTTTGTCATATAAGGTTTGTCATTCAAGTTTTCAGCTTTAGATGACTCTTCAATTTCCGGATAATCTTATATGTATCTTTCTTAAAACATTTGAAATACTTACTAGAGGCAGTTGAGGACCCACATGATATTGTCTTACAGTATTAGCCCAACAATGTTTTAAGTTTGGAGACTCTGTACATATCAAGATATAGAAAGTGAATAAGAAGAGGAGTGAGGTTAGGGTATGATAGAAAAATGATCGATTTGCTCAAGATCATGATTCAGAGGAGTATATCGATAAGGCAAGTGGATTAGGAATTTGGAAGGGTTAACTACAGATTACCCCACTGAGATTCAGTCACATTACATATTTCCTCCTTTATCTTTAAAAACCTACACTTAATCCCCTAACTTTATGGATTGAATTGAAATTCGTAACTCCCTTAGAAGACACATGTAAAAGACTATTATATTCTTGTTTATATAAATGCACCCACTCTGTGCAAAACATGTTGAATCAAACAAAGAGGCAGCAAAGGAGAAATTCAGAGACAATTGCTTTGACTACTATTTTTAATATTGTATTCGTCATGCAAAATGGAGGGTGATGGGTTTACTATTGAACTGCTGATTCAGAAAATGTACCAATTAGGGGGTGAAAATGTGCTTGCTGGTTCAAAAAATGTGCCAACTGGGGGGTGAAAATGTGCCAGCTGGTTCAGAAAATTTTTGCTGCTCTCGGACTCCACAACTTCAATGGCTGCTCTTGCACGACAGAAGCAATGCCTTGTTTCAACCTCAAATCAAGTTTTTCACCACCAAACTCTACTTGAGGTAGACATGATAATCACGAAAAAAAATATTATCTGCCTTCTGCTACTCTGTTTCTTTTCCTTTCTTCCTCCCCCTCTTTTTTTCTTTCTTCTTCAACCGTCTTCTAATGCACCGTCTCCTGTTGGAGGATTAGGGCTTATATTGTGTATAGAAGAGCACTTTGGGCATTTACTTGGTGGAGACTGATGGGAAAGGGTGCTAACGTGACTTTCAGGCGTGTGTGGTCGATTTCCAGCTAAATGGAACAGAAAAGCAAACGATTTCAGTTCAATCCATTACGTTAGGTGGTTAAGTGTAAGTTTTTAAAGAAGAATTAGGTAATATGTAGAGGTGAGGTAATATGTAGAAGTGTTCAAATTTCCGATTACTTATAAATTCAGATCCTATCCAACCACATCCGACTTTACTGAAAGAATTGGGTAGGCTAATAAAAAGTTCTTTGGTATTTTGCAAAAAATTGTGTAGGAATTCCGCATAACTATATATATACTGATTGTAGATATTCTGCATTCCTAATCCATTTTTTTTGGCAGAATACCATTGCCAAGGACTTATAGGACTTGCCATTGCCAGTCGGCAAGTGGACTGCCTTGTCGGCAAGTGGCTTGGCAGCCGCTGTCAATTGGCAAGTGTTCACCTGGCCACTTCTAGCTGGTAAGTGACTTGGGCAAGTCCTTGCGCTTCCGCGCTTGGCCGTTAAGGCAACTAAAAATGAGTCCTACTATTAATCTAGGACCTCGAGTTTTAATTTAACACCACTCCAAATATCTAGTATCTAATGATAAGGGGTTAGGATCCAAAGTTTTAATCAAACTCTACCCTTTACTTATAGGACCTCCTAATGAGGTTGAGTCAATCAACCAAGAGTTTAAATTCCTTGAGGACACATCTCCCTATTGTTATAAATAAAAGTCTAGGTATCAGGTAATGCAATTGAATTCTAGTCTATTCACTCAACACTTTTTTCTGACTTGCAATCTGACTTAAGCATCGAAATCCATTTGGCCGCCTCTGCCCATCGGCTTACCTAGTTGTTCTCTTGTCTTGCAGGTTCCACGATGCTTCTTCTCCACCCTCTCCATCTGTATGAGATGGTTACTCTTTGTGCGAAATTGTCCTTGCACAATTTGATATGCTGATTAATATTTTTTCCTGGTTGCCACCATAATGCTAGGACCATGCCTTGCCCATTGTTCCTCAATGTTGGGTGTCACCCTTATTTTTTATTAAGGTTAATAACACTTTTAGTCATTAATATATATATTTATTAATTTAGTCCTCATTGTATTAATTTTGTCACTAAAAATACTCAATCCATGTCAATTCGGTTCCCTAATCAGACAATCTATCAAGTTTTGACAGAAGTTATCACGTGTCTTTTTTTAGACAGTATCACATGTCCAACACGTGATCATTCTGTCAAAAACTTAACGATCTATCTGATTAGGGACCAAAAAAATGATTGAATCCGTTATGGGTAAAATTAATAAAATTGATACAATGGGAGTTAAACTAACAAATAATACATATTTTAGAGACTAAAAATATTATTAACCCTTGTTATTATTATGGTTATGCCACTGAAAGAAAGAAAGAAAATTTGGCCATAAATGTGTCTGACCCTAAAAGTCAAAATTTTCTCACCAAAAACTTTTTTGTCACGACCAAATTTCGTGGCTCATTTCTCACAGTAACTTTGTTTGGAAAGCTTTGGCGACCACCAATAATTTTGCCATTGAAGGTACACATTATGTGGCAAATATTTAATTGTTAAGAAACCTAAAAATTCATCGACAAAAAATATTGGTCCCCGAAAGTATGCACCTATATCAATTCACTAAGCATGGAACTGTAATTCGACCAGAAAAAAGTATGAACCTTTAACAATTCACAAGTAATTTGATTTGCCTCGTTGGCCAATTATTATTTAAAAATAAATAATCCACAAAGTGCAGATGATACGGAAAATTTCATAATTGAAACCAAATAACAACACAAAAGACATAACAAAAATAACTAATAGAGGTCCCATTAATCTTGAAATGTACAAAATATTCCACATACTTAGATTTCAAATAAGATGATAGGATCATCAAAACTAACTTTGTGTAATAATCATCAATTTGTGAATAACAGGAACAAAACTTGGTAATAAATTACAAATAGAAAAGTAAAATAGAAATTGATGCAGCTAAATATGGCGTAGAGTAAAGCCCGTGACAAGCATAATCACATGCCTGGAGGGATCACGAGACAAATACATGAGTTGGATCTGATG